TAAGAAACTTTGGCATGTTCACGCACACACCAAAAACTGCATTTTGAGCCATTGCTTAAGGCAGAATAAGAAGGTATGTGACTAATGAGGCAGAAAGCTCTTTGTGGTCCTCCAATAACAGGTTGTAGTCATAGTAACAAACCTAACATTTAGTGATAACAATGTTTAGTGTGATTACATATTAGCTTCCCGCTGCAGGGCGGAGCTCCGAAAGCTACTCGAGAACTCGAGCCGTGAGGAGCGCTCGTCCTCCAGGTGCCACCGAGACACCTCTAAAGAATTCTCTTGTTCTCCTCCTTCTTCTTCTTCTTGTGTTTGTTTTCTTCTTCAACTTCTTTTTATTTATTTTGGTTAATAGAGATGAATCCCTGCGCCGACCATTTGCATCAGCGTCACATCAACACATTGTGAAACCGGCCGATGACTCACTCTGACGCAGGTCCTTTTCGCATACCTCCCATCATCCTCTCCCTCTCTCCTCCCCCTCTGTCTCTCCACGCGCACGCACACAGACACACACACACGTGGACAGATTTTCTCAGGAGAATAACTCAGCTCATGAACACCCACGCTGTTTTGCTGCTCACAGTGGCAGCCCTGCTCAAACAACCACCCCTCCCCTCCCTGTCCTTCCACCTCCTCCTCCAGTGCAAGTCACTGCTCATGATGATGATGATGATGTGTTGCCGCGGCAACGGCAGGAGGTGGGCGGCTCCACGGGCGGTGGGCGGAAGCCAGCCGCTAAGCGGCGTGGGAGGGATCTGCCGAGTGCACCCATCACCCTCATTTTGAAAGGAGCAGGAATCCGACTGCTTTTGAGGTGTGGGTGTTGGTGAATTATCGCCTCTCCTCCCTGCAGCTTCGTTAGGGATGTTTGTCTCCCCTCCTTCCTCGCTTCCTTCCTTCCCTTCCTCTCTTTTCTTCCTTTGTCTTCTGGTTTTAATGCCACATGCAGAGAAAACGCAGCTTAAACTTTGAGGGCTGCTTTGAGTTGGCAAGTTTTCATGAGTCCTGGAGTTGCTTTTTTAAATTTTTATGCAATATAGCAGAGAAAGAAAGAGACACGAAGCCAGGCTTTAAAATAAGTTGTTTGTAGTTTTTAAATGACTAGATGAAGTGAAGAAAAGCAAAGCAGGACTGTCTCCAGTCTTTCTTGCTTCCCCTCCCCTTTAATGCAATTTCCCAGCCGTCAGGGTCACACTAGAGTCAATGTAAACACATCAGTATGTAACTTTTACCAAGAGTGAACGTTTGACTCGGTTTGATCATGAACATGGAAAAGATACACATGAATAAGCTGGTCTGAAAATCAGGTAAATACAGCCTCAATGTGAACAGCAACATATGACATAAGACATGTTTAGACATTATTTATCTCATAAAACAAACAAAAATGCAGAAACTGTGTGAAAAACTAAGTGCACCCCATGATTCAGCAGCTTGTAGAAGTACCTTTCACAGCAGTAACTTTACACTTGATCAGTGTGGAGGAGTTTTAGCCCGCTCTTCTTTAGGACATTGCTTCAGGTCATTGAAGTTCATGCACAGCTCTCTTAAATCCACACCACAGCATTTCAGTCAGGTTCAGGTCTGGACTCAGTGACTGCAAGGTGCCCAAATCAAACTAATCAAACTAGCAAAACATCTGCTTTATAGAGGTACTATGGGTTTTCACAGGACTGTTAGTGTATTTTGGCTCAGTTTCTGTTAAATAAATAATGACACAGTGTACTATGTCATGTGCTGTTGCTCATTTGAGGTTGTATTTATCTCATTTTAAGTCCCGCTAAGGAGTATTTTCATGATGTCCTGCGTTGGTACAATCTTGTAACTTAAAGAGAGTGTGCCTTATTTCGCACGAGTTTTTTTTAATGTTTTAAGAGAAATAAAATAGGAGACTATAAGAAGCTGTTGTAACACAAACAAGCATATTACAAGCAGATTGTACCATTAAAAGACTGAAGTTCTTTATATTCTTTGGTTTTACAGTAAGTAGGAGGTCATCAGCGAGCTTGTATGTTCAAACCTCTTAGCTTAGAACGAATCCTCTGTCAGAAATGTGCACATGGTCTGGGACATGTTGGGGCACATTTAATCCCACTGATTTTATTTTTAGAAGCTCACGATTGTGCAAGGGCTGCAAAAGTATGTGGACACCAAAAGATGTCTTATATAGTCCAAATGAACAGCAGTAAAACAGCAGGTATTCATCTGCCGCTACTTGCTGACAAACCTCCTCAGCCATAGTCAGATCATCTACTTTAGCTCAAATCTGCATAAAAAGGTTTTTTTTAACGTAAAAATGTTGATTCCTGTCAAGTAAAAACCCTCTGCGTGCAATTGGTCGGAAGTCCCCTTTGCTTCTGATGACATGGAAATCAGATTTTAAGGCCAAATTCATGAATGTTTCATGTTCAAGTGCACTGGAGGCTTTATTAGTCAGCTCTAATGTGTTTGTTTTATCCTCTTTTGGCTCTCCGGGTGGGTGGAGTTTAGCAAGATAGAGTCAGATAAAAAAAAAATGTAAAAAAAAAAGTTTGAGAAAAGTAAAGCAAACACTTTCCGGTGAGTAATCTGCGGTGTAGGTCATTATTTAGTGATGGGCGTCGAGCTCCACCCACGCAGGCCGCAAAGGAGGTCAAAACGAGCATTAAAATGCTGCCTGACTCAGGAGGAACAGGCTGATAATCTGTAATCTGGTACACTGAGCTCTGCAGATTGAATTAGACCTGAGTGTGACACTGTTTGGGAAATTTCTGATGTGTTTTTCTGTGTTTTTTCTGCAGAGTGTGCATGTGGTTCCCAGATTTCTATCAATCTGTCACTTCATGAATGGAAAGAGGCTCCTACACGCCTGTAAGATAGTCTCACATCACTTTCTAACCGGGAGATGGCGCTGTAGATGTTTTTTTTCAAGGACACACACACACACACACACACACACACACACACACACACACACACACACACACACACAAGGCGACAGTCTGCAGAGAAAGCCCTGAATGTGTGCAACACCAAATTGAACCACAAGGTGGCAGAGCAGCACAACGCATCAGTGACAGTCCTGCACAGGGCTGCTTTAAGCCTCTTTTTTCCTCACCACTGTGCAGAGACCTGATGCTTTAATATTTATTTAATCACTTTTATATCTCAGGTCTCTTCCAGGGTGTGTTTCCTTATTTTTGTTTATTTGTTTTTATTGTTTTAAAGTTCTACTTGTATCCCTGTAATGTTTTATAGTTGCATTTTATGATATTTTTTATAGAAGTCTAGTTTTCATTTTTATTTATTACAGGTTACAGGCATGGACAACTGGTGGAGAGTGTGACTGTAACTCAGCTGAATGAATAGGAAGCTTAAAAAAAGGGAGAAGCAGAATATTTTAACATAAACTCAGTAACGTTTGCTTCGCTCGTTTTCAGTCCGGTCCAGAATGTTTTGTTTCTGTGTTTGTTTGTTTGTTGGTTAAGCCATTTAACACTGAACCAAAAACACACACACAGTTTGACAGCTTAAAATGCTATTTTTTGCACCAATGAGGTGATTCCCAAAGAAATATTAATCTGAGAACTTGTTTTATGTCTGCATAGTGTGTAGTGTGTTCTTAAAAAATTTGAGGAAAATGGAGAAGTGGGGCACAAAAGCAGAGGTATCAGGCGTAGCATAGCCCGGACCTCAACATTATTGAAGCAGTGTGGGATCATGTTGACAGAGAACAGAACAAAAGGCAGAAACATCCAAAGAAGAGCTTTGAATGTCCTTCAAGAAGCCTGGAGAACTACTCCTACTTAAAGACATGGCAAGAAAGCTGCCTAAGAGAGTTCAGACTGTACTGAAGAATAAAGATGGTCACACCAAATATTGACTTTCAAACTCATTACTTGTACAATCTCTGATTTTGCCTTATATACTGTATTTACATGTATGTTTGCACATGCTTCAATAAATCACTTCCTATTTTCCTACCAAAGTATAAAGAAATGAGGGGTGACTCAAGATTTCTGCACAGCAGTGTGAGTTATATAGCTGTGCAAACTTGTTTATTTGAATCATCTGCACATGATTTCTGCAGGCCAAGCATGAAGACTCATGCACATGAGTCAGTCAGGAAATATTAGGCTTAAACTATTTCAATATAGTGATGTTTATGATATTACTTCACTTATATTGTGTTTATTCTTAAATTCTTGTATATGTGTTATGTGATTTCCAGCATTCGTGTGGCACAAATAATAACATTTCTACAACTAAGAGTGCAAAATGTGCATTTAACTTAAAATGAATGCAGACTACGTACTTGTGACTCATCCGATAATTAGTTGTTTTCTACTTAACTAAAACTGGATTCCATTGTATGATAAAACATATACTTTCTGTCTCCCCAAAAGTTATGTCTGTGCTACAGCAGCCACAAACAAAGCCTACATGAAAAAGAAGCCTACGTGGATAAAGAAGAGTGGGCCAGTAAAAAATAAAAATAACATGAACAAATAGGTCTAAAATGTATCATGCTTAACATAAAGCAGTTCAAATAAATAGAAAACGTGTAGTAAAACAATAAAATAGGAAATTAATTGAATAAACAATAATAAATGTAAATAAAATACAATGAAATGCTTTGTAAAAACGTGACGTAATACAATCTAGTGGCCCTTTAAAGTAAAAGAGCTAAAAGGATTAACTATAATAGATTAAAAACAGCCATTAAATGTAGTAAATTCAAAAATATGATTGTTTTCGTTATTTATTGTGTTTATAAAGACAAAAATATCGAAACTGTGCCTATAAACATACAAAAATGGGCAAATACTTATAAATAACATAAACTTATTCGCTAATTACGGGAAGTGATGGAGATAACGGGACCAAAACACGATTCACAACCGTGGGCGGGACTGTTAGGACTTCTCACCAATTAGGTGCGCCCATGGGTCAAGTCCGTCCAATCACAGCTCACGCGGTGGATAAGGTTGGTTGTATCCCGCTGGGGAGCTTTTTTCCGCTGTTGAGTCAGTGGGAGAACCGTTACACGACCGATAAAGCGGCGCTCTCACCGGGAACCGACCTCTACGATCCCTCCACGCGGTTCTATAGTAACTCCACTGCACAGTTCGTCTGTACCACAGGGCTGAAATGTTACATCTTCGGTCTACAGTAACGCTCAAGGAGTTATTCCAGACTCAGCTGAAGCGGCCGCTCACACGTAGGGTCGGCGTTAAAGCAGCACCTGCTCCCGCCGCCTGCTTCAGCACCCTGAGTCCTGATGGACGGTCACCGGGTAGAGGGCGGTTTTCTGGCTGGAGAGCCCCTCAGCACTTGGCCAGGAAGCACGCATTGAGAGGCTTTTGCTCCAATGACTCCACCGGCAAGGACTCTTCAACAGAGAAGTAAGTAACGTTAACAGTAGGACGAACTCAATAGAAAAAAAGGAGCATTTTTAATGGGGCGGTAAACAATCATGACATCAAGGTGCCTTTACCTTGAGGCTTCTCATTTAAAAAAATAAACCAGTTTTACTTACAGAAAGTACGCGGAATTTAAGAAATGCGTCTAATTTCTCGTTGTATTTAAAAATTAATCACTTTATGTATAACACTTGCACAAAAAGGGACGTTATTTGAATTTGGGTTTTTTACAACGTAGTTTGGTGCGAAGGGTCTAACGCGCATCACGCGAAGTGGCTAGCTGCTAGCTCGGATGCTCATTTAGCTCAGCCTGCTAAAGGCTGGCAAGGAGGGTTGAGTTTGCCGGGGAACTGTGCAGGTCAGGGGCTGTAGATGAGGGGGATTATGGGTGCAAGTGACCGGTGATAGTGCGCCCACCTACAGGCTCAGGCCAGTGGAGAGCTCCGGTAGGTAGCGATGGAGGTAAATCCAGCAGCCATTATCGGACAAGTTTAATATATCTAAGATGACTTAGTAGTTCCAGTATGAACCTTAAGGATGTTTTGTGGCATTAACTTGCTCTAAGCGGGTGGCGATTAGTCAGAATGTACTCAATGGAAACTGGTGGAAAGGAAGTAAATTTGAGACGTGTCCGAGAATGGAAGCACATGCAGTGGGGCAAGCCTGATATCGTGACCAGCTGCTGGAGGCTGATGCCTTCATCCATCCAGACTCAGGAAGGCATCAGCCTCCAGCTGCTGGAGGCTGATGCCTTCATCCATCCAGACTCAGGAAGGCATCAGCCTCCAGCTGCTGGAGGCTGATGCCTTCATCCATCCAGACTCAGGAAGGCATCAGCCGGCACCAGGTTACCCAGCCGGGTCAGTTTAAACGAAAAATTAAGGACAACTGAAGCTGGTTAATGTTTGAATCTCCACTCCACACCGAGCATCAGCTCCATGCATATTGAAGGTCACCCACTATTGCTTCCATAAGAGTGCAGCTACTGACCTGAATTAATACACTTATATCATTAATTATAAAGCACAGTGTATGCCACATGATGAGAGGCAAAGTAAAGCAAGTCTAAAGTATAGAGGCTTGTTTCTGCCTCTGGGGGGGGAGAAAAAAAACTATATATATATACATAAACAAACTGCTGGGTAGAGCCAAGCCACAACTTCCAGGTATTTCAGAGTAAGTAAAAAGATAGAGATACTAACCTGAAATTGTCCCTTATGGATGCCAAAAAATGTTTATTCAGTGGCTGAAACAAAGTTTTATTTTAAATGCCTCTAACTACTGACATAAATACAAAATAAGTAGAATAAATCATAAATCAGTATAAATCATAAATAACATTAATAATAACAATAAATTAATCTGTAACGTTACTAATAGCAAAAAAAATAGCACAATGAATCAAAATAAAATAAAGATAAAATAATGAAAACATAGACACAAGTTAAAATCAGTTTTTGCCATGTTAAATGTTTAACACATATATAGTTGTGGACATGTTCTAGGGTGGAACGATCGTACAGCATACATCTTTAATAACTTTAGAAAACGAGAATTTTGTGCACAAGTTTGTATTTATTTGGGATTTTCTCTAATCCACACAGGGTTAAAAGTATACATACAGGCTCAAATATATACATACACTCCCACTAAATGTTTCTCAGCATGTTGCACCTTGATTGGGTGGTAGCCATCAACAAGCTCCTGGTATAATTGTGGCTGATATTTGACCAGTCTTCTTGGCATTTCATTAACGTTGGTTGGTTTCTTGGCACAGACTTCTTGTAAGATCCGGAATCAAATGTGAAATGCTGCTCCTCACACACAAGGTCTTGAATATTTAGGCCTTGTCTTATCTTAGAGACCTCATAGTATCATATCACCACAGTAGAGCACTTTTCTCACAGACTGCAGATTTACTTGTGGTTCCTAGAGTATTTAAAAGTAAAGTTGGAGGCAGAGCCTTCTGCTTTCAGGCCCCTCTTTCTGTGGAACCAGCTTCCAGTCTGAGGAGCTCTTTCTTTTCCTTTTGTTTCCTTTCCTTTTCCTGAATGTCTCTTTCTCCGAAAGTGTGTCTTTGTCCCGTCTTCATCCCCTGACTCCCATCTGGTCATGCTGGTTCTGCTGGAGGTCCTTCCTGTTAAAAGGGAGTTTTTCCTTCCCACTGTTGCCAAAGGCAAGGGGTTATCTAGTTTTTGTGGTTTCTCTCTATTATTATAGGGTCTTTACCTTACAATATAAAAGCTTATTAAGATGACTGTTGTTGTGATTTGGCGCTATATGAAAAAAATTCAATAGATTTATTATGGATGTCAGTTTTTATTTCTGTTATGAGACCAAACAGGTGAGCGTCCCGTAATTTCTATAATGATGCTGAAATGGACAGAAAATGTCAAAGTAAAATACAGAATTAAAAAAAAAAAGTATGTGTGCCAGTTGGAAAAAAAACAACAATCTTCCAAATATAGAAATTAAAAAAATGAATAAGTCCTAATTAGTTGTATCAAAAATAGTATAAATTAGAATTAAATAAATTAAATTCTGGATGATTTTTGAAGTGTATTATGTTTTTTTGTTTATTTACGTAACTGGTTCCTCCACAGATATACACTGTCATGAATCATCTTTCTTTAAAATCATGAAATTCAGCTATACTAAAAGTTAGCTTACTGTCCATCAAATACATAGGTAAATAAATAGAAAAAACATAAAAGAAAATACAGACTAAAAAAAAAAAATAGAAAAATCTTGGAGATAAAAAGCAGTACAGAGATGAGGTGCTGTGTTTTCATGTAGCAGCATATTAATTGAATTTTGTGTAATTTTAATTAGGGCTGCTCGATTATGGCAAAAATGATAATCACGATTATTTTCACTGAAATTGAGATCGCGATTATTTGACGATATTTATTTAACCCTTTAAGACCTACCATAGAACCAAGTCCGCCAGAGCTTATATTATTTTTTTACATGTTGTAGTGCCATTTGTTGGAGTATTTCAAGTTGCTATACAACTGTTATAGCCCATATTTTAATAATATGTATGCATTAAGTCCATAGTAACTACATTAATTGCAAAAAAGTGCAATAAACTACAAAAAAATTGAAAATCATTTTTGTTTTTTTACATATATTTCTACTTGGAGAAATTTAAGAGGTTTATCCCTCAAAACTTTAAATACAAAAAAAGTTGCAAAAAATAGTTTACAACAACAGGAAATTTATTTTGAGTGTCTTCATAGTTTTATTTTGGAGATACACCAATTTTTATATACTGCAGGAAAAACAAAAAAAACAATCCTATGATGCAAATTTGCAAAGAAAACAGCATCAAAATAAACTATTTCCAGCTGTGCAATTCGAGTTCTAAGCATCCCAGCAACTATTCAGAAAAGTCAAACATGACCAGTATAGGTTTTTAAGGCCTACAAGTAAAAAAAAAACTACATTTCAGCGAAAATGACGTCACTTCCGGTTTCGGCCAGGAAATGGCGGACATGCACAGTTCGCGCTGACGTCTGTTTCACTGTGGGAAGTGTTACGAACAGCTGGTCGGATCGGCAAAGCATGTTTCTGGAATATTATGTTTTGTTCCTGCAAGCGCTTTTTATGCAAATTTTGCAAAGCTTTATGTGGAAGGAAACCGTGACCGAGGACAAGCTGATGGCATCAGATGTAAGTACAACTCCTCCGGTTTCATATGCAAAACAAATTATTGCGCTAGCTTACACGGTTCAGGTTCTACAGGGATTTAAAAATAGTTACACAAAACGGAGCGTGCTGCTCTGACCGGCTTTAAAGGGTTAACAATGACTTTTAAAAAAATATATAAAATAGTGTGCAACACCACTGAAGTTTTTTTTTTTTTACTTCTCTTTTCAACCAACAGCAGTCACTCTCCTCTCCAAATAACTTCTGCTTAGCTTTCAGAGCTTCCCTCGGGTCCTCTTAATCAGCGGTCTCCAACCTTTTTTGCACCACGGACCGGTTTATGCCCGACAATATTTTCACGGACCGGTGTTGTGCCAAAAAGTGATTGTCTGCCAAAAACTGATTTCCGGTATTTGCCAAAAACTGATTGCTCGTATTTAAACTGCTATAAGTAACTTGTTGGGCTATAATATGTGAAACATATGTCAAATGCATCCCTCATGGATGACATAAAGTCATCTTGAGCCACAAACAACATTCGTGTAACAAGGTAGAAGCCGCAATCAGTTTTTGGCAGTGACTTTTATATAACCTTTATTTATCCAGTTTAAAAAAATCTCATTAACATTAAAATGTCTTTTGTAAGAGTAAGTTGGCCAAGAGGACAGCAGAAATGGCAGCAAATATTACAATATTTCTGTAAAATATTTTAAGTGGGGATAAAGGACCGGATTGGTTATAATGTAAGTACAATAGCAGAGAGTTGTAAAGATACTTGAAAAACAGATATTGTTTTAATTCTCTATATAACCCCTTTGTAAACCCTGTTCACCGAAGTCTATTTACGAACATACGTAAAGATATTACACATAAAAATACACAGAAACATTGGAAATCAGTTTTTGGCAGACAATCACTTTTTGGCACAACACCGGCCTTTAAGGTGTCGCGGATAAATGAGGGAGGGGCTAATAATCGGCTCAGTCATTTTTAATGATCGTTGAAAGCCCAGATCGTAATCGTGATTAAAATTCGATTAATTGAGCAGCCCTAATTTTAATTTACATTTGCTCTCTTTTGGACCTCCGTACAAATACAGTGAATGAAAATATGAGTGTCAGAATTTTGAGTATAAATTAACTCTACCATCAGGAGAGGGGGCTGCAGGACAGCCACAGTGGAGGGTTTATAATTTCATTATTTTTAGAGGCAACTCATTAAGAAAATATATAAAGATACACATAGTTGCTGAAGATCCAGCATGATAACCAGCTGGCCGATCATTTCTTCCCCTCGGAGCAGCTCTGACACCAGCCTGTCTCCTTAGAGAG